GGAGGCAGCAGGAGGGAAGGGCAGCACACGCCTGCCATTGCCCTGTCCCCAAACGGGCGCCCAGCTCTCAGCCAGGACCCGACCCTCCTTTGCTCCGCGTTCTGCTCTGCTGACCCTTTCGCGCTCCCCCGCCTCCCCTGACCAGGAAGAACAGAAGCTGCAAATGGTTGCGGGGGGTAATACGGTTTAATTTATGACCCAGCTTTCATTACACAGTAACTCGCAAACCACGCTGCAAGTCACCGTGTCCGTAACGACGTTAGCGATACCGCAGGCCCGGACCTGCTCTGACTTTCACGTTCTTAAAAGTCAAATTCAAAATACGCCCCGCGTCTGGATGAAACTGGAGTGCCAGCTACAGAGCTGCGATGCTGCGATGGGACAGGTCCTGTGCAGGGAGGGCTCTTCCCCGTCGGGCTGTTGGGGGTCTCCGCTGAGACCCTGGCACGTGTTTGCAGCTGAGTGAGGACCAGGGCTGTAGGTAAATGGACACTGCTGTGAAAAGCTCAATCCAGCTGATAAAAATATTTTCCAACACAGGTCATCCGCTGACAGAGAGGATGGGCAGGGTTTGCACAGAGAAAGGAAGGGAAAGCTGATGTTTTCCAAACAACGTTTTATTCAGGGTGGCATTTTAGCAAAAAAATTATGCATTTGGCTTGTGCAAAATAAAATCTTTAAAGATGATTACAAACCTTGTCTTTTTGGTACGATCTGTGATTATAAACAATTCCCAGTCTCAGGCACATGCAGGGAGTAAGAGGAGCTCCTCCTGTCCCTGTTTCCAGGCAGAACTTGTCAGCAGTGGCCTTCAGCCTCTGATGCTTTTGCATCTGAGGGTTTTTGCTCAATAAAAATTAAAATGCTGTCGCCACAACTCGCACTGAGGCTAAAATCTTCTGCCACTAGTGGCTACCCTTCCAATTTATGTGGCTGAGACCTATGTGGTGGCTCTAGGGTCCTGGTCTTGCTGAGTTACAGGTTAAATATCCTTGAACGGGAAGGTTTCCTTAATGTAGGGATTTCTTTTAAATGAGTGCTCCGTCCAACAGAAGAAATTAGGAGTTGTAAAGTCAGGTGCTTCTGTTGGGAAATGCCTGCATCAGCTGGGTGGAGTGAGAGCGTTTTGCGACATCCTGGTTGCGTTGGCGTCCCTCTCCTCCAGCCCTGTGCAGCAGCTGGGGAAGGTAACCTCTGTCAGCCCCTCAGCCCTTGCCCAAGGGTGTTTCAGTCTCCTTTCTTGTCTGGCATCGGGGCTCCCAGCTCCCCGTGCAGGACACAGCCTCACCGTGTCCTTATGCTTCATCCCAAACAGCCTGGCCAGGCAGAGGACCCTTGAGGATGAAGAAGAGCAGCAAAGAGAGCGCCGGCGAAGGCACCGGAGCCTGCTGTCCTCCACATCAATGGATGAAGAACTTCCTAGCCCTGCGAAAGACACCGGTCCAGCTTCCAGCAGGTGTGTGAGGTCCTATTCAGTCTTACTCATGATGCTGACAGCTCACAGCTTGCTACCTTGTTGTTTTCAACCCTGAGCCAAAGCTGCTGCAGTTGGTGGGAGTGTCTTCTGGATGAGGGTGGGCTGAGCTGTGGGAAGAGCAGGGGTCCAACAAGCCCTTGGGCAGAAGGATGGCCTTCACAGGAAGGGTAGAAGAAGATGGGTGTATCTCTGGTAGGTTAAATCATGGGACTCAATATGTCCCACATGGCACAGGGACCCATGTGCCAGGGTGAGGGTTGGTGCCAAGGTTGAACTCGGGTGGGTGCTGGCCATGCCCTAGTGGTGTCTTGAGCAGGTAAGAGCAGACAGGCACCCATCTGCAGGGCAGGTGAGCTGAGCATGCAGCACCTGGCTGCTGTGCTCCCGCTCCTATGAACCTTGCAGTGATGTTGTGGGCAGGCGACCCAAGGGCTTTCCAGTGGTGCTCCCAAAGTGCCTTGCTGCAGGGGGCTGGGATTTGGAGGTGCCCTGGGATCAAGCTGCCCTTACACAACCTGACCCACTCTCTAAATTGATCCTGGAAATCTCCACAGTGAGACTCATGCTCTAGAGGTGTTTCTCTCTGCAAATGTGATGGAGTTAGGACGCCTGGGTTGCATGTGTGTTGAGCTGGGGTTGGACATGCCTAACCTGAACAAGCTAGATAGGACATGTCCCCCTTCCCTGGTGCTAGCACAGGTTGGCCATGTGGTGACTGCAGTTCAGGAGAAGGGCAAATATGCCATCTCCTTCCCAAGCCCTGGGGAATGTGTAGGTAGTCTGTGTAGCCCTGGGCAAATGTCCTATCTGCCCCTTCCCAAATCTGGTGCCTGTGTTTGCCTGTGGGAAGGAGGGGCAAATGCCGGTTTTGCAGAATGTGTTGGGACTGTGGCTGAACCATGGCATAGCTGATTGTCTTACAACCAACTCTTTAAACTTAAAAGATAGTGATATTTTTTCCTAGTCCACCAAAGAGCCTCAGACGCACGTTTCATAGAGTAGCAGATCATCTGAATCTGAATCCAAGAACGCTGCTCTGAGCTCCTTGGCACAGGACATGGTGGATGCTGGTGTCCTGAGATGAAGCTGCCAGAAATGCTTAGTCTCTGCCACAACAACGAAAATAAAGACTTTTAATCCCAACTTGTCCTTGGAGACCCTAGCTGGGGTGACAAGGGTGAGTGTGGCTGCAAGTCCTGGTCTTCAGAGATGATGCCAGGACATTGGCAGAATTTTTATGCTCCCCCAGAGCCTTTCACATGGGTTAACCTCACCTGCAGCATAAGAGCCAGCCCTTTGGCCCCAGGGTGCTGACGTTTGCCCTCCATTTTGTCTCTGTCTCTAGACCTCAATCCCTGGTGAAGCCAGTGTCTCCAGAGGACAAAGAGGAGCGTAAGCTCTCGGAGGTGCTGAAGACACAAGAAGGGAGACGGACAAGGTCCCTGATGTCTGTCTCTGAAAAGTTGAGGCAGGAGAAGGAGCAGCAGGAGCCAGGGGTGGGAGCGAGCCGTGGGGAGGCAGGGACGCAACCGCATGTGGGGCAGGAGAGCATCCAGGCTGGAGAGCGGGATCAGAACGCATCCAAGGGCAGAGGGGACTCACCAGGAGACCGGCACCCAGAGCCAGCCTTGGAGCAGAAGGTGGTGGTGAGGGGACGTCTCCAGAGCAAAGAGGGACAAGGTGTGGGGATGCCTCAGGGGGAGCAAAGGAAGGAGATGGGGGAGCCACAGCAGCGGGCATCGCCAGAGCTGGGGGGCTGCCGACTCCGCGAAGTGAAGATCCTGACCAGACAGGGAAGGCGCAGCACAGAGGAGAAGACAGCCTCAGTGGTGACCTTGTCTCTGGACCAGCAGGTGAGCAGGAGTGGACAAGGCACCAACCCTTGGGGTGCAAGGTCCTGGGTACTGGGAGTACAACAGAGAGAGGGAAAGCCCAAAGGTACCAGGAGGGAAATGGGATTCATGGGCTTTTGGGGAAGGTTTTTCTGAGCGCTACAAATCATGAAGTGATGGACTGGGTCCTACCACCTCCTTTCCCTCCCTTGCACGTACTATTCTGATCACCTTCTCTGGAAAGCCCCTACTGATCACCATCATGGTTTCACTGAAGAGGTGTTTGGGGCTTTGCATACCCAAGTGAGACAGCCAAGACCTGTAGGATTTCTATCTCAAACTCCTGCCTCCAAACTGGTTTCCATCCTGGCTGCTCTGCTCCCTGTGCCTCTACCTTCCCTGCAGACTCTGCAGGGATGCATCAGTTGTCTGCTTTTTTCTCAGCAACCATCCAGAAATCCCTCAAAGGATGTAATACAGCAGTCTCCCACCCAAGATGAACCTGCAGAAAAGTCAGATACGTCTCCAACTTACGTCACCTACAGCAGCTCCATCAGACGAACCAGCCCAAGAACTGTCTCTTTTCGGGTAAGAGCTAAAGCAAGTGGGTGAAAGACCCCCATTTAGGCAGTGGAGGATGAGGGGAAGGAAAGGTTGCTTTGGTCTCCAGGTTATGTTGGCAGAACCTGTTCCCAAAAGTGCATTCACAATCCACCCTTGTTCTGGGCATCGCAGCTCTGCTTCAGTCCTTCCTCCATTTTCCTTCTCTGTGTCTGACTGAAGGCCCGTGACGGTGAACATACCCATGTTCATATGCTTCTGTGCTGACATGGGAACTTGTGGGAAGTGATGAGAAAACAGGGAGCTCATTGTCCTCAGATTTTCCAAAGAGTCACAGGAACGACCATCTGCCCTCCAGCATTTCTTGTCTTTGAGAGCACAGGATAAAAATAAAATCCATCCTCCTTCTTGGCCTTTGTTACATCCCGGAGAATACCTTCAATTCTAGCCCCCCCCAAATATCTCTGGAATAAAGTGCTTGGAGAGACTGGGAAAACCAAGAGCTGTTGAGATCCTCCCTGCTGAGAGTCAGGGCTGACTGGCTAGGCCTATTGACTTTTAAGGTGCTTTATTTGGAATAAAACTGTTACACTACAAAGTGTCTTTAGTCTGGAGAACTTTGATATAAGAAGTGGTGTGGGTGAAAATGGAACTTGCTTGAACACGGGGAGCTGAGTTTCTCCCATGTTTATCTTCGATAACCAAAGATGGCTCCAGTATCTCTCCTCCTTGTGTCTTCCAGGTGATCTCAAGAAAACAGAAAGAAGAAAGCCAAAGTCCTCTCACAAGGAGGTCAGCACCTCTCTGCATGTTACTTTGGCCTTCCTGGGCAGGGATTGTCACCCCTGGTTTTCTGAGGGAGGAGAAGGAGGTGATGGGACCTGGTACCAGCTAGTGAGTGCCCTGGCACACGTTTGATGAACATTGGTCCCCAGGGTGCCTGGCTGACTGGGCAGCGATGCTTAGCAGAGGACAGGACAATGTCCAACGTACAGCTTGCGGCTGTACAAGCTCCCCTCAGCTAGCCCCTGCTGCCTCTTGGTTGATGTAGTTTCTCATTGGTGCTTGTGTCTGCCCAGCCGTTAAGTGTTGAGCAGTGCAGCACCACAACAAGGTCCCATCCCTGGAGATATCTAAGCCCACTATACAGGTCCGTGAGCAACCTGATCTGGCTTTGGTGGCCAGATCAAGTGATCCTCCTCATCTCCATGGCAAGGTTTGGGCAGGTGGCTTAAAATCTCCTGAGGAGCGAGGGCTCAGGTCTGAATGCAGGGAGTTGACAGGATGCCCTCTCCTGCCTCTGAGTGCCGGGCAGAAGAGTGGGGCTTTACGAGCAGCCGGGCTTGCACCTATGCATACTATAGGCAAACTCATGATGTTAGTGAAGATGCAGTTCAGACCTGGCAGTGGGGAAGACAGGGTAAACTGAGGAGCTCAGAGCTATTTTTCAATGTACAGTGTGGCCCTAGTAAGAAGGTGTGACCCAGAGGTCTTGGTCACCAGCAGGGAATGAGCTGCCTTGGTTCACTTGGCAGATGGGTGCAGGAGGAGTGCCTGGGTCGGACAGGGTCTCCTTCTGCCAAGTGGAGCCCCCCAGGACCATGGACCAAGTCCCAGGAGATCCTGAGGGATCTGTGTTCAACTCTCTTCCCTTTTCTTCACCAGCGCGAGTCTGAGGATCCCAGGTAGCAGCACCACCATTGGGGAGAAGCTGGAAAAGTACACCTCGGCTGTGCAGGTCCTGAAAACCCTTGGCATAGCCAGACCAGTGTGGAAGGGAAGTGGGGGGAGAGGGAGAGGGGTGGCCTGGAGCTGAGTGGGGAATGGAGAGAGGGGTTGAGCTGCACCAAACAACCAGTGCTAATGACGTTGAAGAAGATGGTCCCAGGCAGAAAAATGGATTGGCCTCAGGGTTTTAGGAGCAGGCAGGGGATATCCCTTGGAGAAGGTCATGCAGATGCTGCATGGCCCTGCTGGGGGGAGCAGTGGGGAAATCCCACGAGCTGGTGATGGCTAAGGAGGGAGCAGACCCCACAGGCTTGGGATGCGAGCCAGAAGCAGGACTTTGCGTTTTACTGCTTGGGGTGCAGCACAGCCCCTGCTGACTGCCACTCTCTCCTCCCAGCGCTCGGAGGTGGTGAAATCGTCCCTGACTATTCAGAAGAGCCTCTTGCTGTCCTCGGAGGGGGTGGCCAGCAAGCGCAACTTCTTCGAGGCAAGTGCTCCCAGCAAGGCTGAGCCGCTGGCTGTCAGGAAGGTAAGGGCAGGAGGTGGCCCGAGCGAGGACCTTCCAGCGGGGTCCTGTGGCAGGGCAGGCACCGGCTTTTCGGACAAATCTTCCCCTGTTTGGATACCAGTGCACAGCCCGGCGGGCTGCTGCCTGGATGCAGTTTGGTAGGAGTTTGGTGCTTGCTGAGCGGTGCCAGGCAGGGCTGGGCTTGGGCACCGGCTGCCACCGAAACTCCGCTCTGGTGGTGTGTGGGTTCGTGCCGATGCACTGGTATTTGAGGAGCTGGGAGAGAGCCAAGGTGTAGGCTGGTCTCTCCCTGTTGTGCGTTTGCTCAGTCTCCCCGTGCCCTGGGGACTGTCCCGGGTTACGGTCGTGCAGTGGGAGAGCTGGTGCTGTAACCCTGGTGTCCCTCTCTGTGCCACAGGACAACCTGAAGATCCCGGGATCGGTGACATCCCGCATTAATCTGTGGATCAGCCGAGCTCAGGAGCCTGCCAAAGAGGAAAAGAACAAGGTACCAGCTTGTGCCGGCACCTCAGGCTAGAGCCCTGAGAGCAGGCAGCCTGGTGGCACATGTCCCTGCATCTGGGATGGTGGGGCTTGAACGGCTGATGAACCCTTGGCTGAATCCATTAAGGGGTTTGAGAGGGGCTTAGTCAGGGTCGGAGGTTTGGGTGCTGCAGGGCCACAATGGCGAGATGTTGCTGTGCTGTGATACTGATCCCAAAGTGCCCAAGGCGGCTGCTCCCAGATCATTCTGGAGTGAGGAGAGAGCAGGCACCAGGTGGGTGCATGTCCCAGGGAACATGCAGGGGGACCTGACCCTGCCACCAGTGTGAAAGATCACCCCAGCATGATCCCATATCTAACAGTGTCTGGAGGACTTAGCTTTGACCTGGAGGCCACTGGGACATGAGCCATATGCTTGGCCTTTTGGCACTGGTCTCTGCAGGGCTTGAAGAACTGTGTGTGTGCACTGAGAGGTCCTGCTGCATGTGGGATCTGGAGTGATCTGCACCCCTGAGTGAATCTCAGCCCCAAAAGTAGGGCGTCTTATAGCTGTGGGGTCAGAGTGCCCAGCTAAGGGGACTCAGAGGTCAGCACTTTGCCTCCACAGCTGCTCCAGGGGTGTGGATGCAAGGGAGATGGACAGGATACCCTTTGGCTTCAGGGTAGTTTACTTTACTTGGAAAGGAGAGGTTCAGCAAGTCCTGGGGAGGTACCACTATTTACAGCAATAAGGTGTTTTGCCACTGCTCATAGCAGAGTCTTCTGCAGCCGCCTGGGCATGGGACCAGGAGGGGCAGCTCCAGCCCAGCCCTGCAGCCTGGGCAGGCAAGCCCAGGCACCCCCGCACCGAGCTGCAGAGATTAGCACTGCCCAAACGTGTCTGTACCGGGAGGCTGTGCTGGCTCTGTGTCTGCCAGGAAAAGGTTTGCTCCTGGGGTCACTCTTGGGTAAAGCTTGCAGCTCCTTTATCAGTTTTTCCCATAGTAATGCCTGCTGCCATCCATCTCTGTGGGCTGGAGCTGCACTTCGTTTTGAGGGTCTACCAGGTGCGGGATCTCAAAGCCAGCTGGTTTTACCTGGAGCATGTACGCTTCAAGGTTTGGTTAAAGTCAGACCAAGGCAACACTGCACATGATGCATGGGGAAAACCTTCTTGTGCCACTTATGACTCTCCCGTTTGCAGGACACCAGGAAAATAAACAGCCTGCGAGACCGTGATGTCTGGGTGAAGCAGCCTGGAGACACCCCTGGGGACACCAAGGTAGACATGGAGCTGCTTTGAAAACTGGTGCATCTTCTGAGCTAGGGCCAGAGCCGGGACCTGCTCGCCAGTGCATCATCCACAGTGCAGGTGTGGGAGAACCAGGCTATGGGGGGCAGAGGGGTCGTGTGGGACATCCAGGACACCATGACTTGGGGGAGTCAGCAGGAGGGGACAACTGGAAGCAGCTGTAAGGGTGAGAAGGGGTCTGGTCTGGGAGAGGAAGGGAAGTGGCATGTGGTGGGATTTAGGAGATGCCTGTCTGCCTCACCCCCTGTTTGGGACAAGTATGGTTCTGGTTAAAGTAGCTGCCTTTGGGGCCTGCAGCCTCGGGCCCAGCCTCACTGTTTCTCACTTTCTTTTCCAGTTGTAATAATATCAGCTGTAATAATATCAGATGATCTGGGAAAAACTGTTTGGCTCAGAAGATCAAACCCCAGCCCTACCCAACCATCCAGCAGCCCACTGCCATGAGAGTCCCTGGCACCATGTGTTGGTGCACCCCAGGTCGCCAGGGTCTTCTGCTTGTGGGATGGGAAGGAAGAAGGCTGGAAGATTATCCCTGCACCCCCAGTCCTCACTCACTACCTGCCTGGGAGCACCCAGGCCTGGAGACTCCTTGCAAATGCTGAAGGCAGATTGTTGCCTTGTTTCCCCAAAATGTTTTGGTGTTTTGCTCCTAATCTCTGGCTGTGCCCCATGACCACTTGCAAAGAGGATCAGGCTATACGTCTCCTTTGCAGCTGGATCACGTCAGTGGGGCAAGCCGCTGCCTGGCCAGGGGAGTTTCAGCTGTACGTCCATGGACCATGTCCATGCCTGCTGCCCAGCTCATGTGGGGTGAGGTGGAGCAGGCAGATGTCACCCTTTCCCCCAGGCTGTCGCTGCTGGAGGGACCCAACCAAAGGCAAACAGTGTTTGTAAAGCCACACGTGCGCCGGTGTAGTTGGAGATGCCTCATGGAAGAAGGGTGGACCTGATGGCCCTGGTGCTTCCTTCCAGCACGCAGCTGAGCCAGAGACTTGGCCTTCTCCACCCTCCTCTTACCATTCCCTGCCCCCTACAAGCAGTGGCCCCTTTCGCTTAGTGACACGGGAAGGGTGGGCTGGCCACGGCCCTGTTTTTGGTGTTGCACAGAGCTGAGTGCCCTGTGCTGGACCCCTTCTGCAAACCCCTTTTCCCTCTTGCTTTCCCTCCGGAGCCCTTCGCCTGCGGCTGTGCAGACCCCTGGACTTGCACTCCCCAGGCTGCTGAGCCCACCCGGCAGGGAAGTAGGGTGCTCTCTTGAGACCAGCTTTAGGGTGCCATGGGCAGCCCATAAAACGATGCTCAAATCCTTGTGCCGGAGCCGTTCAATGGGCTAGGGCTGTGCCTTGAGCAACCATTGCGGTGTCCAAATTCAGTGTGGGGGTCTACTACTGCCCCTGGATCTGATCGTGCTTGCTGGGCTTTGGAAAGGACTTGGTTTTCTCTGTGCCTTTTTTTTTTTCTAATAAAAGTTGCTCTTTCTACGACACTTGCGGTCACCTGCCCCTGGGCTGGGACTGGGAACAGTTCTCTTCTCTTCCTCTGGCAAGATGAAAAAAGGCAAAACCCCAAGACAAATGTGTCTGGGGGCGGATAAAAGCAGCCTGAGGCTCTTCCCTTCTTGTTACAGCATCTTGGAAGTGCAGCGGCTGAGTGAGCCTGGGTCAGGGGCTGTGGTGGAGGGTCCGGTCCTCTGCTCACGGCAGCGCTGCCTTATCAGTGTCCCTGGCCCTAGAAAGTGACAGCTGGCTGGCTTGTGTCAGACCCTTGGGCGCTCACATATCTCAGTCTGGAGGGTTTAAAATAGCAAATCTCTGAGGCCACACAATAGCTTGGGCTTATATGGGCTCCTGGGGGGGACGGGGGAACAGCGGAGGGGGCCGGTGCCATGGCTGCTGAAATAGCAGCTCACAAGTGTTGCATTCCTTGCTGGGCGCCGGGCACATTCCTCCCGGCGCTGCCCGCCCCGGGGTGGGCGCTGGAGCCCCCTTAAATCCTGCTGCCCCCAAAGAGCATTTCCCAGACACCCGCCGGCTTCCCCTTGGCTCGCTGGGATCCCACCAGCGCCCGGCCGCGGGACGGCGGGGAGCCCGCTCGCGGCGTAGGATGCTCATGGAAGGGCAGTTGTTAAAGACCCAGAAGTGATTTGGCTCAGGGTTACTGTCCCTCCCCAGCCACTTGCACTGGGATGTATTTTTGCCATGAAGGCATTCCCATGGATAAAGCATCAGGACCCTCTCCAGGGGGTTATATTTGCAACTTGCCCGACGCCTTTTGAACCACCCTGATGTGTGCCAAGGTGGTTGAGAAGGATTTTGACTGCCCTGGTTCCGGGGGAATCTCATAGATGCCTATTCCCTGTGTCTCTGGGTGGGACAGTAGGGATGCGATGCCCGTGGAAGAGTCGGGCCAGCCTGGCCCTGGGCTGGTAGCCCATAGCGTGCGTTAGAGGTGGGATGTTCCAGTGCACGGTCTGACCCTGCCGAGCAGGAAGGGAGCAGCGACGTGACCCAAGCTGGAGCAAATGCCGGGAAATGAGAGCTCCATGTCTGGGTAGCCTGGAGGAAAGCAGCGACTGTGAACTCTGGAAGATTAACTCAGCCCCAGAGGTGTGATCAGCCAGCTCTGAGCTAATGGAGAGGGGGATTTTAAGGAACCGAAGGGATATCTGGATTATTTAATATACAGCAAATGATGGGAGATTTTTTACCGTCAATAATATGTGCAATGTTTCCTCTTTAACTCTGAAATATGTCTGCTGGGTTCTCCTAATTCTTTCAAAACAAGATTTCAAAGATTTAATGGAAAGGTTTAGCTGTTTCTGTGCAGATGATGGATAAATATTTCCTAGAGCCACTTTTTTTCTTGTGTACCCCTTTAACAGTCCTGGTTTTGTTGCTGTTCCTTGGCAAATGCTCTGTGGGATCTAGTGACATACGAGAGAGGAGGTGAATGGAAATGTAGAAATAGGCTTTCACAAATGCTTATTTGCACTGTTGTGGTCAGGAAGAAGACTCTGCTATTGCGTCATGAGAGGACCACATGAAGTCTTGGGTGCTCAGAGGCCACATAAATGATTTGGCCAGGCTCTGGGGGTAGCAGGACCATGTCTAGCCTTGGCAAAAGGGAGGGCCAGGAACTGATGTTCAAGTGGGAGTGGAGATGGAGGAGATGGTGCTGGAGGGACATGCTTAGGGCCAAGCCCCAGATCCATCAGAGGGAAGGGAACAAAGATGGCAGAAGCAGGCGGTGAACTGGTGGCAGACGGGGCTGAGAGTTCTGACCTCATCTGTCTCCAAAAAGCACCTTCTGAGTCATTGCTCAGAAGTGAGATTTGACAACCCCCCCGGAGCTATGGGTATGCAGAAGCACCCCTCCTGTAACACGTCTCTCCCATGCTTGTGGATTCCAGTCCTGGATTCAGCATCTTGAATAAGCGATCCCGAAGCCTGTCCTACCCATCCCGGGTAATAAATGCTCAACAGATGTAGCCAGGACCAGTTGTTCCCAGGCACCCGGCAGGAGGAGAAGTGTCGCGGCGCTGCCCTGGGAACAGGTGGTTTAGCACAGGGAAGTTATTTCTAGAGCTGCCTTGCGTTGTCCTGCTGCATCTCAGCTTCGCTGGGGTCTGGCACGAGCGCGAGGGGTGGACAGGCTGTGCAGGGGCCTGGGCTGAGGCGGCTCCGGGATGCTGGGGCTGACTGTGGGGCTGGTCTGTGTGGACCTTGCGGTGGAGCATTGGGTGGAAGCCAGATAAGGTGGGAGATCAGTAAAGTCCCGACCACGGCTGGGAGGGAGACGGGTGTGCTGGGAAGATGAGCATGGATGTTTCTACAGAGTTACTAGCCCTGTTGCTAAACCAGGCTGTGAATTATTCCTTTTAGCTAACCTCAGTCTCAGGGCCAGGACCAGGAGAGAAATGCTCCTGCTGAGCCCAGACACCCCTTTCCAGAGCACACCCCGCACTTGGAGGGCCAGGCCGGGAGATCTCACTGAGATCTCACGCGGTGGCTTGTGCAGGGCTGTAAATTTGAGATAACGAGACGTCCCTGCAACTTTCTTTATCCCAACCAAGCTAAGAATAGTCGGGAAGCAAAACAAGCTGGACGTTCTAATTGGGTTATTTTCCTGTGCCCTGAGCAAACACAGCACCCTGAGGTGGCTGCGGCGAGGGGGGCTGCGTGTCCCGGACACGGCTCCTGACAGCAGTTATCAGTGTTGCATGAGGCTGTGCCTAATCTCCTGCCTCCTATTTGGGGCAAGCTGTGTTCCTGGGACAGGAGGGGAGGGGGGAACCTTATCTCTGCCGAGATAACGCTGTCACAGGCCGGCTTGGGGACAGCCTGAAGCTCCAAGCGCTTTGGGGAGAAGCAGGATCTCTGTGCGTGTCTCAGGCGCTGGAGGACAGGCTGTGCTTGTCCTTATCTCAGCTCGTAACCCTCGCTTTTTCCAATCTGCCTTGAATTCTGCTAGATAACCAGGCATGTCGGACTCTGAAGAGGTCATCGAAGAATATGAGCAGTAAGTGGTGTGTTTTTAAACACCCTTTCTTTCTCCTTATTCCCACTTTCCCACAGGGTTGCAGTATTTCTTAGAGGTGCCATTCAGGGGGCAGCGGCTCTCGTCATTGCCCCATGAAATCCCCGCATCCCGTGCCCACCTGCACCGCTGCTGTGATAGTGCCGAGACCCCCAACAGCGAGGAGTGTTGTGTTAGGAGCTGTATTGACACACACATGGCAAGGGACAGGCCCTGCATTGAAAATGCTGCGGTCAAAATCAGTGAGATGGAGCTGGGAAAAGCTGATATCATCAGCCTGTTGCTGATGGGGTCCTGCTGCCACATCCAGAGCATCACTTCCCAAGGCCCAAATCTGACAGCAGCTTTTGCTGGTGAGGGCTGTTGGGCCATGAGGTGCACCCTGTAGAGAAGGGCCTCAATATCTGCCACACACGGCCGTAGGGACCAGTCCAAACACAGTACTTCTCATCCACCAGCAGAAAAAGTGGTTCTGAATCCTCTCATGTTTAGTCAATCAGTCTGTCTCCTGTGCCTGAGGACAGACTGTGCATCTCCCCCAAGGTCAGGAAAGGACTTCGGGGCAAAAGTGGGATGTGAGATGCCAGTTTCTAGGATTACGGGCCATGGTCACTCAATCTTCTCAAGCTGCAAAATGGTGTTGTGCTCTGACCATTGCCAAAGTGTCAGTCGAGCACTTCAGCTCCTGCTATCCGCAGCCTGCAGGGCGATCTGGGTGCTGTGCCGTCCCCACCGCCACCTTACAGCATGCCACACAGCAGCCTGCCCAGCAGTCATTGCCCATTGCTGCGAGAAAGGGGAGCCAGCCTTGAGGAAATGTCAAATTCCCCTTTGGCCTCAGCGATGGACACTTGTGCCCCGTTGCCGCAGATTGCTGTAACTCTGCAAATCTATGTTGTGCTTTGCAGGGAGCAGGAAGGTAAGAGGACGTGGAGCACCTGCAGCTGCGCTGAGGCTGAAGCTGAGAAATGATCAGAGCAACTTCAATAACCTGCATCTTCTTTCCCTTCCCTCTCGCCCGTGCGGATCTGTGCTCTGTGAAGAGGAGTACGTGGAAGAAGGTAAGTGTTTCACCTGTGGCTGCAAGGGCCAAGAGACAAGTGCTGTTAGATCAGTGATTTTCTTGGGTGGGTTGTGGTGGGTTTGCTCCTTGACTACAATGGGCAAACCATGACCAGGAAAGGCAGATGAGACCGTGCTCTAGATTTCTCCATCTGACACATCAATAGGATCAAAACCAGTCTGAATTTTCTCAGGATCTCTTTTGTCAGTGTTGCCTTCACTAAAAGAGGAGTAGAAATGTTGAACCTGGGCTTTGGCAGAGGTGTGAGCCCAATAACTCAACGGGAGCTGGAGCCTCAGCTGAATGCATATTAACGGTGCTCACGCACAAACCTCCAAGTGCCTCGGAAGCAAACCCCAGGGTGCACGCAGCCGCTCTGGGACACAGCTGGGCTGTACATCTGGGGCTGGGTTTGGGAGCCGGGTTTTGCTGAGTCTCTTGCTGCTTCAGGGCACTGCCAGGCAGCCCGGGCTGCTGCGCGGCAAAATGTCCTGAACGTTAAAAGCAGAGAGAGGCACAAGGGGGAAACCCCTGCAGTGCTAGAGTCCTCATCTCATGCACACCATAGCTACACTCCACCGCTTCATGGCGTCTGACTAACCTCTGCACTTGTTCCTTTCCCTCCTCCCTGGCTCAGAAGAGGAAGAATGGATAGAGGAAGAAGACGGTAGTTATTGCACCTTTCTTTATTTCATCTCTCCACTGCTGCTGTGAATATGTCGTGGGTCGGTGTGTCTTTTTCCTCTCCCTGGTTGGGAAATGGTTTTCTTTCATTCTTCCACTTCTCTCTTTCTTGCTTCTTGCACCCCCACCTTCTTGCCCTGCTGTGCTGTACCTATCTGCTCCTGTGTCTGTGGCTTCTCTCTTACATCTATCAACCAAATGCACTCGTGGTTTGCTGTCTTCTATTTCTTTCCTTCTCTCCTGCTGTGGCACCACAAGTCTTCCCAGGACCTGTGGGCCCCAGCATTGCTCTGACTCCAGTGGAGGAGTCTTGTGAGGATACTGCTCCCTCCAGTGGAAAAATGTTCCAAGAGTGTCATAAATAAGATTGTGAAGGTGCCGAAGGCACTTTTTCTAGTGCCAGCCAGTCTTGTTCTTCGCTGGCTAGAGGAGAGCAATAGAAATCACTCCTCCCCATCCTGGGGCGTAAGAGCATAACAGCATGAGAGGAAATGAGGGACAAAGCAGGTGGTGGCTATAAATCCTTTAATTTTATCCTTTTTGCCCTGCCTAAGCACAGAGAGCAGCCCTTGGGTAAGGTTAGAGTGAAGCCCTTTGCTTTCTGAACTGCTGCTTCTTTCTCCTGTGGCTACATCTCCCTTGAGTCTCTCTCTTGGCCAGCTCCGCTGTGGTTGTCCTGATACTGGGGTCTGTAGGGAGCCAGCGGGAGCAGCGACTGTTGGACTCATGCTCCCCGTTATTCCACAGGTCAGGAAGAACAGGTAGAAGAGGCAGAGGAGGAGACTGAAGAAACCAAGGCAGAAGGTGCGTGGTGACTTCACCAGTGAGCTCCCATGGCTTGGCTGGAGCCATGATCTGCTTTGGTGGGGTGCCAAGCAGTGTCTGCGATGTCCCAGTGCGGCTTGTGACCGCGGGCCAGTACCACAGCGGGGCAGCTCTCCTCTGTATCTGTGGTTTCCAGTAAGGAGGTGTCAAAACTGCGCTACTATTTCCTGATCTTCCTAGTGTCTTGGCCCTGCAAGCATGAGGATAACGGTGTTTTCTGCTGGTCAAAAAATTTGTGTCCAGCACTCTGAAATAATGCCAAAAATAAGTTCAGCCGGTTCCACCAAGAGCTGCCCATACCCTTAGAGGAAGGATTTCCAGCGCTGGGGTCACACTCTGGTGTGTCCCACCATCCAAAGAGCACTGGGCTTCAGGAGACCTCTTTGGAGCAGATGGGGCTGCCTGATGTGTGTCCCCATCCTGTCACGCCTGGTGGGGCAGGCTCAGATCCCAGCTGTGCTCCCTGAATTAGGGTGCTGGGACCGCTCTGTGCTGGAGGGATGTGTCTGCCCTCACCCATGGATGCTCATATTCTCTCCATTGCTTTTGAAACAGAACAAGAAGATGAATCAAAAGCACCAGGAGAAGGTAAAGCAGGAGTGGAGGAGAAATGGTTTTGGCCATTTCAGTTCTGATCCCAGTCCCCCAAGACCCTGGGCCCTTGTAACGGGGTTTTCAGGGTTGAATTCATTTGCTGCTGAAGAGAATCTGCAGTAAATGGTGCAGAGCTGCCCTGGCTCCGTCCTCTGCCAGGGCTGGGGCAGCAGGAGGCCTGCAGGAGGGATGGCTTTGTGCTGCCTAGGTAAGAAATTCACCCAAAATATACAAGAAGAGAGTAGAGCTCTTGCAAAGCCTGTCTGGGTTCCTCCTGGAGAGGACCTGGGGCTCTGTTGGTCTGTTTGTGAGCGATGTCTGTGAGGGAGCTGCTCTGTCTCTGTCCAGCCTGGAGGGATGGAGCTGGGTTTTGCAGCGGGGATAAGCACGGGGCAGAGGAGAGCAGCCTGGCTGTGGCACCCCGCTGTGTCTGTGGGTAGGGTGCACAGCAGGGCCTCCGGGAGCCAAAGCATTGCGTTTTCCACAGGTGGAGAAGGGGACCGAGAGCAGGAGCCTGGGGAAGGTGAAGTACCCATCCTTGTTCCTCGCTGGGGCGGGAGGGACTGTCCCCTCACCTGTGTAAGGAGATACCAAACGCCTTTCTGCTCAGCCAGGAGCATCAACGTGTGTCTCGGGTTTTGGCACACAGATGGACACCTCATTGCATGCCTCTGCTGGAGGCTGATCCACAGTACAGCCTGTGCTGCTGGGAGAGAGGGGTAGCTTGGCTCAGCGATGTGGGTTTTGGGTCAAGGTGTGAAAGCAAATGCCTCTGTGACACTAACGTTGTCTTTCTCTCCTGCTCTTGGGGATCTGCAGGTGAATCGAAGCCAAAACCCAAGTAAGTGAAGGTGCATCTTCTCTGGTGCAAGGTCTGACCTAGGAGCTGTGCCAGGGCAGAGGCTCCGAGTGATGGGCTGAGCACCATGATCCATAACAGGCATGGGATAGTGAGACCTCAAAAGCATGGAAGAGGATGGGACTGGGACATGGAGAGAAAAAGGCAGATAAACACAGGATATGAAGGGGATCTTGAGAATGAGGTCTTTTGGCAGTTTTGAAACATTTTGTATGCCCTGTGGCCCTGCAGCGGGAAAAAATCTGTGTGTACCCCAGCCTGGGGTACATAGTCCATGGCACAGCCACGGTCTTGCTTCTGCAGTATGTTCCTGGCCACGCATTGCATGAGTGCCAGCATCCCAGGGACAAGAGCACTTGTCTGAAGGAGCATAGCTGTGAACCACTGTCAGGAACCTGCGGGTTCTCATGGACCCCTGGGACGCTGTGGTGTGGGATGTGGATCTGTCCTCAGCTGCAATCTCTTCATCCCTACTGAGCATCTCCTGCCCTCCCTCAAGCCGACAGAGGATGAGAGAATGGTTTCCAGCTCCCTGTGCCAGATCACACTGGAGCACACAGTTCCTCTGTGCTCTTTTGGGTGAGCAGTGAGGTAGCTGCCAGCCCCAGGGTGCTTGGCAAAGGGTCATGGCCAAGTTGCCTGCAGCTTGCAGAGTTAGCCATGCAGGCGCCTTGGAGTGCTTCCCAGGAATGCCAGAGGTCTTCCTCTGAGGCTGTCCAGCTGGCAACCTCCAGCAAGCAGCTTTACACTTCCCTGTACTCAAAATGTGCTCACTCTGCATCCCTGGGGACTGCGAGGCTCAGAGAGGAGGGCTGGGTAGATCAGTGCATGGATGAAAGGCACTGTCCTGTTCCAGGTATCTGCTGCAGGCTCACCATCCTCCCGCTCACCTTTGATTGCAGGGTCTTCATGCCAAATCTGGTGCCTCCCAAAATCCCAGATGGCGAAAGCCTGGATTTTGATTAAGTGCACTCAATGTCAACTCCTGCGAGGTGATCCCCTGGCATCACTCCTCCACATTGTGCCCAGCACCTCTACAGCTCCTGGAGGGCTTCACTCGTGGGAGTGTAGCTATTGCCGCTGTTTCTGCCCGGTGCAGGACATCCACCGCAAGCGCATGGAGAAGGACCTGAATGAATTGCAGGCCCTCATTGAAGCCCACTTTGAGAGCAGGAAGAAGGAGGAAGAGGAGCTCATCTCCCTCAAGGACAGGATTGTATGTCTGCAGCCTTCCCCCTCGATTGCTGTTGCCACTCTCTCCCCTGTGGGCACACAGCCACAATCCTTTCCCCACAGTCCTGACAGCAAGACCTGAGACATCCCATGTCCCTGCAAGACAGAGTCTGAGATTTGAGCCAGATTTTGTACCCCAGTGTGTGGCTGCTGTGGTGCTGCGGTGCCTAAGAGATGCACCTTCCCCCATGGTCACTGGTCCACATGCTCCCTTGGGAGATGTGGGAGCAGCAGATCTGCCCTTGGGGCTCTCGGGGATTTTGGGGTCAGGGATGTGTCCATAGGGACAGAGAGGATGCAGATTCCCTGGCGTGTCCAAGCCAATGTCCTCTCCTTCTGCAGGAACAGCGGCGAGCAGAGAGGGCAGAGCAGCAGCGAATTCGCAGTGAGAGGGAGAAGGAGCGCCAAGCCCGCATGGCTGTGAGTCTCCTTCCAGGGACTGGGGACTCAGGCTGGTCTTAGGTAGCACAAGCCTGGCCATGGAGCACATGGGAGCATGAGATCTGTGTTGTATGCAAGTCGGTCCGTGATGTCTCTGTCTGTCCGCTCCTGACCCATTTCTGACCCTGGCAGGAAGAAAGAGCTCGTAAAGAGGAAGAGGAGGCACGGAAGAAGGCTGAGGAGGAAGCGCGGAAGAAGAAAGCGTTCTCCAACATGCTGCATTTTGGAGGTTACATGCAGAAGGTGTGATCCTACCCCAGGCAGTTGCAATGAAGCCACTGGTGCTTGTGGGAAGGGCTCAACCATGGCCTGAGCTCACAGCACTGTGCATGTTCTCGGTGTTGGTAAACTGTGGTTTCTACAAACAGAAGACGACAGGCCGTCGTTGTTCAGTCACAGCAGAGGGCCAAAATGAGCTGAGAGCTCTGCTTTGCAGATGATGGCCAGGGTGGGTCCAGCCTCACCTTGGGGACAGGGATGGGAGGTGTGTCTTGTCCACTATTGACAAAATTTCTTTGAGGACCTCACGTGCTTCTGGAGTCCCAAAAGCTGAGGGTGTTGAGGGCAGAGCTGGGGATAGGGGTAGAGCAAAGGCTGGGCAGGTTTCCTTCCCTCCAATGGACTGATGGTTTCCTCAGTCAGAGAAAAAGGGTGGGAAGAAGCAAACAGAGCGGGAAAAGAAGAAGAAGATCCTCAGCGAACGGCGGAAACCCCTGAACATTGACCACCTCAACGAAGACAAGCTGAGGTGAGCACAGGCTGCAGGGGGGGTATCCAGGACAGTGGCTCTGCTTTGGGTCCTGCCTCCTGGGCAGGATCCGGGGCCGGGGTGGGCTGCCTGGGGCTTGCCGCCCAGAAAGAGGGTGATGGCACAGCTGGGAGGTGGGCTGTGACACCCCACCGGGGACGTGGGCTCCGTGGCTCTGCCAGGCTGCTGCTGACAGCGCCGGCCATCAGAGGGAGCCAGGCTCCCGTGCGTGGGACATGCATGTCCCCAGATGTCCCCACCTCTCCCACGGGTGGGACTGGCATCGCCGCCTGGCTAACACACCCCGGCCTGGGCAGGGAGCCTGCAGAGAGCCGTCCAGGGGGAGCAGCGAGATGGTGGCATCACTGCCCTGTCCCCTGCAGTGAGCTCCCCGTGAGCCACGTCCCTTTTCTGCACTGACACCAGCTGGCTCTTCCCACAGGGAGAAGGCCAAGGAGCTATGGCAAACCATCCGTGATCTGGAGGCTGAGAAATTTGACCTGCAGGAAAAATTCAAGCGGCAGAAATACGAGGTGAGCCGCAAGGTCCTCTGTGGGCATGCTCACCCTCCGTGTGCCTCGCTGCTCCTTCTGCTCCCCACCCGGGAGACGAGGTGGGTTGTCCGACTGAGGGTGCTGTTGCAGGAAAGCTGGCTGCGTCGGTAAAGGACCATGCCCCCCCGTGTGCATGGGGTGACAAACCCCAAGAGGCTCTGCACTGCTGAAAGCAAAGCCGTATCTGCCTCTCTTTTGGAGATGATCCAGGATCAAACCAACCCTCCCAGCAGTTGCCAGCCACCCTGGCAAGGCTGAGCACACAGCTATGAAATGCTGGAGGATGTGGCAGCTGGTGAAAGGGGCTGTGTGGTGGCCCTGTGACCTCCCAGCCCCTGGGGACGTGTGCTTTGCACCTCAACAGGCTTCCCGCTGTGCTGCACACCACAGCCCCATGCTAAACCCCACGCAAGAACCACTGGGCAAGAGAGAGCCATGATGTGCCTTTGCCCTGACCCTCGTCCCCGGCCGGGCATGGGGCACTTTGCCAGGCCTCACCATCCGCCTGCGTTTCTCTTGCAGATCAATGTCCTCCGAAACCGCGTTAGTGACCACCAGAAAGTGTAAGTCCCCGGGCAGGCTGAGCATCCTTCCTCAAGCCCTCCTGCCCTTCCAGCTCCCCGCTCCCCTGCCCCAGTCCCCTCCCTGTGTATCTCCCGGCTCTCTTGCACCCTCACAGAGCCACCTCCTGTTCTTCCCACTCCTGCCTCTGGTCCCACTGGTACCCAGTGCCTGCAGGTCTGGCCCAGGCACCTCGGTCCCCGCCGCTCTGCTCCCATTGACAGACCCCCATTACCTCCCACCTCCACCAGCTTCCCCCTGCCCCAGAGACCCCAGCTGGGGATGCACCCCAGGGAGACCCCACCTCTGGACATGGAGCCTTGTGTCCTGCGGGGTCCTGCCAGCCCCCAGCTGCACCCATCCCTGCAGTGGCTCTGCCCGGCATCCCAGGAAAGGTGCTGGAGATCCCAGCTTGTGTAGGAGGGGACATCCCACGGGCTGTAGGAGCTGTGCAGCCCCGCAAGGTTGGGGGAGCCCATCCCCATGCCCATGTTCCCTGCACAGGACTGGGGTCCCTTTGCAGGAGGGTGGAGGTGGGTGTTTAACCCCCACCCCCGGGAGCACCACGCTGCTCTTGCATCCCCATCCCACCCATCACGCCTTGCCTGAGAGGTGCTCAGCCTGCCCCACGTGTCAGGTAGCAGCATCTCCCACCCACTTACACCAAATCTCTCTTCTCTCTGCCCCAACATGGCCCGCTACTGCAGCAAAGGGTGAGTACAGGCCTTTCCCGAGTGCTGTGTGTCCCCTGCTTCACGCGTGCTGCATGGACGCCGCGGCTGACGTCCGGCTCGCCGGAGGGGG